CAATTCATTTCAATCTTTCCAAATTAAAAAAATTAAAAATAAAGAAGGGAATGAGACTCCATTTTCCTCCATCTTCCTCTTTTCCATTAAAATTATTAATTTAAACAATTGAAGGTACTCTCTTCCCTCACTCTTCTTTTCTTTCCCTCCAACTTCTCCAATCCAACCAGGTGTGATTGAAACAATGGAAAAACTGGTGTCCTTAGTTGCCTAATACAAAATGGCAAGAGGAAGAGAAGAAAACTGGGCTTCTCCAGCAGACACTTACTACCAAGGCCCAGATTCTCGAGCCCAACTTGAAACCCTAGGTGGTCCGAAGCCTAGAAACCAGAGAAGACAAGGAAAGAGAAAGCCTTGGTTCTGTTCTCTCGGGAAGCCCCGACAAGCAACGCCGAGAATTCGACGGAGGGAAGAAAGTGGAAACCACAAGAAGAAGAGGAAGAGGGAAGGAATTTTGATACAGTAAACTAGAAGAAGAAGAAAGAGATAATGGCGGAGAACAAGGACCTGCTGCCGGCGAAGTACGACGTCAATGCAAAGTGGGACGCCTGTCTCGATCTGACCGTCCGTCGCTTCGTTTACTCTTCCTTGGCTGGGGCGTTCGGCGGCCTCCTCCTCTTCAGTACGTCGTCTCTCTCTCCTTCTCTTTCCTCTTTTATTTTTCATTAACGCAATTACTTGAATTTCTATCTGTTTTTAGGATTTCATGTGAAGTATTGATTGCTAGATTTTTGTTAAGATCATCGAATGTATCGTATTAATCTAGTTATGCAAGCATTACTCATTTGAGAATTTAAAAAAAAAAAAAAAAAATTCAAGGATCAGAAGTTGTGTGTTGTTAGGATGAATCAAGGTGTGGATTTTACAACATTGTTGTTGTTGGGTCATTTAATGGTATTTGATGCAACGCAAATTGATTTTTGACTGTCAATTAGACTATTGCTGCTTGCAGTGTTTCTACTTTGCTGATTGATGTTGTGTCCTGTTGTCACTTGCTTTCGAAATGGCTGAATTGAAGAGGAATTGATTTTTTTTTTTTTTTCTAAAGCTCGGTCATTCAAATGTTAAAATCTATTCTTCCAGCTCCTAATTTGATGTTTCAGCTACAATATTGCATTTATTCTTTGATGGGAAATCATTCTTTTGGTCTGAGTTGTATCTTTGGTGCATGGTATTCCAGCTCTAATTCCTCGGCTGCTCACAAGCGTGCTCGTTATAAACATGTATGAGCTGATAATGTGGAAAAAGACTTTTGCACTCCATATGCATGATAGTGCCCAATTTAAATTTAGATACCAACGAAATGTAAGGTGTAGGATATTCTATTTGGCTGCTTTTGTTGGGAAATGTTTGCAAATGTTGTTAACTTTACAGATTGGATGCTACATTTGTGCAGTTTGACTAGGTACTTATGTAGGCTGTAGACAAATTACTTGAGTTTGATTGCTTTGCATTGTGTTTTAGACTTTTTGTGGATGCTTTATATTTTTTTTCACTGCCTATATTAAATTTATTATTTGGATTTGTTCTGATTTGTCATACCAGGGAGTCCAGTAACTCGATGGGCATCTATAGCTTTTGGTGCTGGAGTGGGTATTGGCTCTGCATACACAGAGTGTTCTCGAATATTTGATGGGTCTACTTCAAATCCAGCTCCTCCAAAACTAGCAGATGCTCCTCCAAAGCTAGCAGATGCTCTTCCAAAACTTGCAGATGCTCCTCCTTCCCAGGTAGTTCTCGTCTTTTATACAACCATAGTTTGATCTTGGAAGAGCAGTCCCACCATGCCTCTTGCCCTCAATGTGAGAGTGAAAAATTGTCTGTTTCTTTTTAGGTGGTGCACAAATATTGTATAAGGTTTATGCTTTTTTGTTATATTTATCAACTTATGTTGATTTCTCATGAGCAATTATGATGGCTGTCTGTACTTAAACACCAAAACGTGGAGTATATGTTTCATAGCTCACTACGTATTTTTGCTACCAAGTTACTCTTGTAAATGATAATCCTTGAAGTAGGTAAAGAAAGCTTTCTGCTGAGATATGTTTCCTTGCTCACTATGTCACTGTGGTGTGCTGAGATTTTAATCACTGATATGGTGATCTATTATTCTTGATATATATATCACCTGCCTTGTAGTTTAGAAAATGCTGAAGGTTCATGATTCTACTTCGTTTATATTGTCAATAAGGATTTAAGTACAAAAATTTATTTAGTTTTCTTGCTGTTTACAGGATGTGCAGGAGTGACTTTAAGAAACCCCAAGTTGACAGGATTAAAATCAGAATTTCCTTAGAGTTGAGATTGTTGGCCTTTCTTGCTCTGCATGGCTTCCAGTGATGTACTACATACATTGTTGTCATGAACAAACAGTTACCATAATGCTTTGCATAATTTCATATAGATTCCATTACCTTTTGTTATGTAATTCTATGGAGTAAACATGATTTTGGGGAAATGAAAATAATTCCTTTCTGCGGCCTTGAATCTTGAGTTTACATGCTCTTATGGCTGTTTGATGATCTTTCAGGAAGAATGGTGCTTATAACAAAGAACAGAATGCCAAAGGAACAGTGGTAGGGTTTTTTTGTTCAGCTTAAGAATTATCCAGAAAAATACATACATTCTTTTGTCCGGATTATTCATCAAATATACATTAGAGTACAAATAAGCACTTAACTAACTCTTCTCAACTAAGCCATCATGTAGCCAATTCCTCATTGCTCCAAAAGCCTGCTCTGCATCAGAGTCTTCTTCAGGCGATCCAGGTCGATGGGCGAACCCATGACCTCTTCCCTTGAAAATCATCACCTTAGATCCCATCCCAATTCTCTTCTCCAAATCACTCAAAACACTAACAGGACATAGCGGGTCATTGTCCCCTGAAATAAACAACACAGGTACCTTCGCTTTGGATGCTGTCGATGGATCCATCCTGGTGCCATAAAATGAGACCCCAGTACCAAAACAAGCTCCCTGGTCTGCTGCAAGCACGTCGATCACCCGACCACCTCCAAAACAAAACCCAATTACCCCAAGCTTCTTTGAGATCCCGGCAGCCATGAATTCATCAACCATCCATTTAGTTGCCATGGCAATATCTGTTGCAACCCTCTTCGGGTCTTGTCCACCCATCCATCGCTCAAATTCAGTTCTTGGCTTCTCCTTTGGCCATGGATCACCACGAAACAAGTCCGGAACCAGAACACTGCAGTTGTAATTGAACTTTAAGATTACTTGATTTCATTGAAGGAGGACAAAGAGACCTGGTGTTGCAAGATTAAGAAGTTTGCTTACTTGTAACCATTGCAAGCAATGCGGTACGCAAAGTCTCTCGTGGATGAATCTTCAAAGCCGAAGAGATCAGACAAGAGCAACAACCCAGTTCCGTTGTTGTTCTTCACTGCCTTAAAAAGGTAAGCTTCGAAGCTATCGACGCCTTCTCCTAGGGAAAGCTCCACTCCGTTGACTAATTCGCAAGTTTCATCATCTGTTCCATCTTCCACTTCCACCGCACTACATGAAACTCGGCGGGCGGTGTTCTTGGGAAATGATCTCTGAGAACTTAAACTGCAGCTTTTCTGAATACAAACTGAAGAGTTAAAGTCAGAACTTTGGGATTTTCAACATAAGCAATCAAGGAAGAGGTGAAAGGGAGTAATGAACCATACAGGGGTTGACAGGAAGCGGAGGCGGCGGAGGAGGAGGTGGCGGCCGTGGCGGATGGGAAATGGGTTACTTCTGGTGGTGCTAACTGAGGCGGAGAACATTGAAGAGAAAAGGGTCGTAGCAAGCCCCATCGTTCTCTCTAAAAACCAGCTCGAGTGGAAACCAGAGCTAGAGAAGACAGAAATGCTGCGGTCCATTTGAAGATATTTTCATTTTGTATAGTCTAGAGAAAATATCCTTGTCAAATCCAAAGGCAACGGTAGGCCTCAAAAAAATTTTAAAAATATATATATATAATATAATAATTTATAAATAAATAAAAATCATTCCCCCTTTTTGCTTGGTTTTTCTTTGGAGTAAGATATTTTATTTATTTATTTATTTATTTTTATATAAGAAGTAAAAAATTATTCTATATATAATCCGATTTATACCAAACTAAGAAATTCTATAAATCCCTTTAATTTGATTTATAAAAAATGTAATATTCACAAATTTATTAATACATCATGATCTAGTCTTAGTAAAAACATCATGTTTTTCACTCTCAAGTGGAATTAACAAAAATTCCTTTTCATCAATAAACACAAATTTAGGGATGTTAAGGGAAGTAAAGGTGAAAAAAGAGGTCAATTTTATAATTTTTTTATTTAAGGATATTAACTTTATCAATTTTTAAATAAAGATGTCACCTTTCAATATTTTTTATTTAAAAATATTAATTTTTAATTTTTTCTATTTAAGAATACCAACTTTAAACTTTTTCTATTTAAAAATTAATTGGATAATGATACTAATGTGGCAAATGAATTTTTTAATCAAAATGTTGAAAATTAACATCCTTAAATATAAAAAATTAAAAGTTGATATTCTTAAATAGAAAATGTTAAAAATTAACATCCTTATTTAAAAATTAACAAAGTTAACACCCTTAAATAAAAAAATTATAAAGTTGATATCCTTTTTTGCACCTTTACTCATGTTAAAGGTATATTTGTCATTTGCAAAGTAATGATGCTTAAAAACATTTATTATTCAACATAAAATTGTGGTCACTAGAATGGGGATCTTACATGTCAGGTTTACATTTGCATGCAACAATGTGGTTTAAGGTTAATTGATTTAATTTTACAATGTACAAAAGTTTCAAAATAAATTAGAAAGCATCTAGAGTATGGGAATGTGGATCTTGCTGTTCACCATGGCTGCTGCTGATATGATTCTCTTCTTGGATGATTTGAAGGTCTTTATCAAGTTTCATAGCTTAGCGCATCTCTAATGATTGAATAGCAAGCTTTGCTGCAACCATGGAGATGTTATCTTTAACTAATTCTAGTGAACTCTCTAACCTTTGGAGGGTGTCTTTTAACTCCATTGCTTTCACCTTTTCTCCCTGCAACTTCAGTAGTTCTGACTGGGTTGATCCTGCAGAACACCCTTCTCCATCAAGTAAAATGCTCCTTTGTGATTGAGGAACAAGAATAAAGAGGAAAGTAATCTCAAGAAGCTTAAGCACATCGAAACCAAAAACCACTCCTCAATCAGAGCTAATTTTGTGGCTAAAGCTCTGGCTATTGATGGTGAAACCATTTTGAATGACTGTTTACTCATCATAAAAATGAGGGCTGCAACCCCCACTGTAATGGATTCAGCCCTAGAAACTGTCTATTTTCCGAAACACTGAGCTAGAAAATGTTTAAGGGGGCACAAAAGAGCATACTTCACACAGTGATTATTATGTCCTTAAAACACCAGCTAGAGTCTATGCTGCAGTCTTATCAGTAAAGAATATTGTCCATCTCCTAATTGAAAATCGACTAATGTTTATTTAAAATTATAACACTGACTATGGCACTGAAAGGATTTAAAGGATTATCTATCTTTAATATTTTTGTGACACTGTTGCCCTTACCATTAATGTTTATAAACATAGGTAAAGGGAAACACAGTCAAAAAGGATGTCTCACAAAAATTCTAGAACTTGGCCAACTTTGCCTAAAGAAAAAGATAAATTAGTGGAGGACAGAAAGAAGATAGTTTAATTGACAAAAAAAAAGAAAAAAAAAGAGGAACTCAATTTAAAAAACCTATGCAAGGAATGGTAAGAGTAACTGAATCACTTGCCTGTAACAGGTTGGAATGCTGCAAAGGATACACGCTCTGCTGAAGAAGGAACAAAAGCTTCATCACATTCTAAGGATGGTTCATTTTCAGCCCAACTTAGGGAGTTCAAAATGTAAGTCTGCAGTTCTGCTTCTTTAGGAGTCTATCATCAAAAAAAAAAAGAAAAAAATCAGAAAAAACTTTCAAACCACGATAGCATGAAGAAGCCATGATTAAATAATTTGCCAGAATGGCTTCTAAGACTGGTTGTTTCTTTGTCAGAGAATTTAATATGCATGGAGGTATATTAGGAAACATCATGCTTTGCTTCTCTGTGCATTTTCTATGGTGTTATCTCAACCAAATAACCATAGTCATAAGCTTCTAGCAGCAGTTTGGCCTTTAAAATGTTTCAGTATAAGCGACACACGTGCACACGCACAGAGAGACAGAGAGGGCCCAAACCTTCAGCTTAATTTCCAAACTATTTAAACTATAAAGAGCCTCCTTCACTTGCATCACTTTTGGGCTTAAATTATCTGTACCATCAACGACCCTGTCCTGCATCGGTCTGATTTCACCTATCAAGTAAGGCTCTGCCTGCAAATTTAGTTGTGGACAAGACAACAAAGAGGTCCATCATATTATAAGAGAACATTGACAAAATGAGAAAAACCCAAGGATACGGAGAACTCTAGAAAAATAAGAGAAAAGAGGGTAAGCGAAGGTATCATGAACATTCAATGCTACAATACCTGGTGGATATACTACAATTCAAAAATTTTAAGAGTGCCCTATTCTTATTCTTTTAATATTCCAGTTTATATCAATGTTTACAATACTGAGAATAAGGAAGGAAGATTCAGCTGTTCTAACTAGAATCAAGTTTCAAGGTAAACACACTCAGCAGAGAAGAGGTAATACCGAAGTTTCAATGTGAAGTCAGTTACAAATGCAAGTCATGAAGACAACAAGTTTCAACTATCAACAGCAACACTAAGTCAAACACGCTAGTGAATACCTGTAAAAACTTCACAATTTTCACACGGCCAATGCCCCTTGTAGAGACTGATGCTCCAACATCTAATCTCTCAACCTGCAGTGTATCAGGATAGTTCAGTAAGTACTTTTAGCTTTTTAGTTCCTTCTCCAACCCAAAATAAAAACAATAATAATAGAACACCCCACCAAATTTTAGAACCTTACATTTTCTATAAAAACCAGACAGCCATGTCTAGCAGCAAATGATGCTTCAGTCGCTGAATTGCTGATAGAAATTGGGTCTAACACAAAATGTACAAAAAGTTTCTTCCTTAATAAAGACTGCAGTAATAGAAACATGAATCAGCACTTTGCACGTATGCAACTAAATCACATATATCAAAGACACAACTCCTCTCAGCACTTACAAAACTTAATTTCCTTCAGGTTAAAGTGAACATTTCAGAAGTTTTATTATTTGATTCTGTCCCCATGCTCACTTGGTAATGGTCATGAAAAATTTCAGTTTTCATATGCATCATGCACTAAATATAAGATCTTTCAAGACAAGACTCTACTCTGAACATAAAAACAAGATGGTGCTTGAATATTTGATATTATCACACCAAAATGAAAAGGAATAAATAAATTGATTAAATTCCTGTTAATTTTAACATAAAGTACCTCCTCCAGCAAAGCTAGATATCTAGCTTCATATAAATGCAGTGTTTTCTTCTCAGAAGGAACAAGTACCTGGAATGAAAAAAAAAGAATCAAAAGCCATTACTTAAGAAATCTTTAAAGACTTACTCCAAAACAAAATTATAAAATTCTGAAACTTTCTCCACTTTTTGTTGAAATTGAGCCAGAATTATTTCTTCAACGCATCTTAAATGTCACTAAATGTTGATTGAACGAGCTCAAATAAAATGGATCAATATATATAAACAAGAGCAAAATTTCACCTCATTCATGTTGAAGGGAAGAAGCGGGAGCTCTAAGGAGCTCGCACTGGGACAAAATCGACGACGGTGCTTGCTGCTAACCTCTCCATGACCGGCAAAATTTACCTTCCTCGGAAAGGCGCCGGAGAAAGGATACCGATTCCGATTACATGATTCCGAATTATGGATTTTGGATGTGGTAAGAGTATGGTGGAGATTATTGGCGAAGAAGAAACTACTCCTACAATTCATTGAAATAAACAATTGAATTTTAAAACAAAAAAAGAGTGAGAATTTCGTGTTGCAGCAGTTATCCTTGTTCTTGTTTTATCTATTTTTTCGGGGAAAAAAATAAAAAACACAATTTGAGAAGAAAATGTGATTTATTCATTTTGTTTTTAGCTAAAGAAGGGAAAATTTTATGTGGTGTATATGGTATTGAATTATATAATAAAAATGCTAGTGATACGTTTGATTTGAGCAAAAGAAATTTGATTTCATTTAAATAAGATTTTAAGTTAATATTTTAGTTAATAAAAAAATATGTGTTGAAAAATTTTTTTTATGGGATTTAAAACCATTTGAATTTAGATTAATTGAGATTTAAGCCCCATTTGGTATAGCGGTTTTGGGGTAGCAGTTAGCGGTTTTACCTAGACCGTTAAATATAGGTATTTGGTAAATTTATATATTTTGAAATCGTTACAATTGAAGTATTTGGTAAAATTTTTATTTAGCGGTTTGAGATTAACGGATAACAATTAGAGTTTAAATCGCTAACGGATTGAAAAAGTTAGTTTATGTAACTTTTTGTACCAAACCGCTAACGGATTAAAATTTTTTAATTTTATTGACAAATTTATTCATTTTAATTTTTTAGTTTGTGGTCACATTTTTTAATTAATAATTATCTAATAAATTTCAATTTTGTTTTTTTACCTTTAATAATATTAAGTGATTTTAATATATTTTTTTGTATATTAATTTATAATTAAAAAATATATTATCTTAAAAAACAAAATTTGTTAATTAGAAAAAATGATTAATTTTTTATTTAAAAATAATATAATTTTTTTTAAAAATAAAAATGAGAGTATAATTACATTATTATAATTAATTTTATTTATTTATTTTATTATTATTATTTTTATAAAATTAATAATTTTAATAATAAAAAATAAAAATATTTTAAAAAATACACTTATTTGTTTTTAAACATGTCCTTATTAATCATTTAATGTTAAACAACAGTCGCTAACTATTGTATAACCAAACAGTTATATTTATCGAATCCGTTATTTACCATCCACTACCCACTTCCGCTATTCGCTATCCGCTATCCGCTATCCGCTAACCGCTAACCGCCACTCGCTATCCGCTATCCGCTAAATTTTAACCGCTGTATCAAACAGGTCCTTAATATGATTGTTAAATATTAAAAAATTAATAAAAGAATTATATAATAAAAATAATTAAATGAGTAGTGAATCTCTTAATTTTAGAGTTTTTTCATTTAAAAATTTTTATTTTCAGTTATATAATATAAAAAATTTAAGAAATAATAAAAATAATTTTTTATTTAAAAAATTATGATTTAATTATTAAAAATGTTTACTATTTATTTTTTTTCTTCTTGAATCAGGTCTGATTATTCAAAAAGGTCAATAAAAATAATTGTTCATAAATTTTTTAATATTAATATAAATGAATTACTTTTTAATTAAATTAAAAAATAGTTAATTTTAAAATATAGTGCCAATTAACATGAGCCACGTTAACCTACAAATTAAAAAAAAAAAAATTAGTATTTTTATTTTGACATATTAAAAAGGAATTTTTAAAGATATGGGTCGTATGGTGTCCCATTAATAAAGTTAAAATAAAAATGGGCTAAACTAGAAAAAATTAAATCAGGGATCCATTTGTTGCTTTATAGAAGATCCAGGGACCAGAAAGATAAGTTGACCAGAATTTTGTGGGTAAAAGCCTGCTTTTAACCCCTCATCTTACCAAATTTGAAGGTTTTAATTCATCATCTTATATTATAACGCTTTTAACTCCACTTTAGTAGATTTATAGATTTTAAGTCATCACCTTCCACTATGACACTTTTAACCCATCACCTATTAAAATTGAATAAAATAGTTCTCATTTTGTAATATTTTATTAATTTTATTAGTTGAGTGTTAACTTTATTAATTGATTGTTATTTGATTATTAGTTGATTGTTAGCTGATAAAAACATTTTTTAGTTAACAGAGTTAATATAACTAATTTTATAATATTTCATTAATTTTGTTAACTAGTAATTAATTGACTGTTAATTGACAAAAATATACTTTTAGTTAACAGAGTTAACAGTTAGTATAAAATAAATGTTATTTTTCTTGATTTTAATAGGTGAGAGATTAAAACTTACAAATCTAGTAAAATGAGGGGTTAAAATGTTATAAGTATAAGATAAAGGGTTAAAACTTTCAAATTTTGTAAGATGAGGAGCTCAAAGCAGGTTTTTACCGATTTTGCGAGTTCGGAATAGTGGGCTCCATGTGGGACCCACAAGTTGACGGTGACCATATTTCCCCGCGTCA